TGCTCAAAGATCAGTCTAGAAGCACCTATCCTATTAGCCATTCTTTCCTAATAATATAGGAAAATAAATTATTTAATTTATCCCTCTGAATTAAGAATTAGGGTTAAGAAAGCTAACCAGTGCTACTAGCTACCATACCTGACTGAACTCTGTCCTTTTTATCCACAGAATGGAAAAGGAGAAGATCTGCCACCAATCAAACATTGCCCTGGGAAGTGGAAGCCAAAAACTGCCAAATCAAGAGATGAAGGAGTATTTTTTTGGTTGCAACATGTGAAGTTCCACTGGTTGAAAGACACTTGTTTGAACCTGAAGAAAAAGCCCTCTTTCACTTTGAAGGTTACCTTCTGCTAAAATTCCCAATACCAGTGAATATACTGACTTTAAGACCACCAAAACCTCTACTTATCCCATTTCATCTGGGGCTGTAAGAGAAGCTTTCAACCTAATTGTGAGCTTAAACCTCTTTTGAGTCACAAATTTGAGAAAGATTTAAAATTCATTTGCAGAAAAAGAACTGTTTGTGTGTTTGTCTAAAACTGTAAGACTTTTTTCCTGGTTGAGATTTCCCTGCCATTAAACTCAGTCATTTCACTTCATTTGACCCAGCTCAGACCTCTCTGCCTTTTGGAACATTTCAATAGCTACAGAAGTGGTTAGATAATAGCTAACAAATAAAATACCAGCCCAGAGTAACTGGAACAAATAAGCTGTGTAGCACAAATGCTCACTGAAACTCAGCAGAAATCAGAGCTCTATACAGAGCTCAGCGCGGCTGGAACACCAGTCCTGATGTGAAGAATGGCAATTTGTCCACCTGCAGTTTTATAACTCCTCATGTAAAATCAGTAAATTGTCCCAGATTCTTTTTTTTTTTTTTTTTTTGGATAGGTTACCACTAAATTTTTTTGTAACTTGTCTACAAAATGAAAAAGGTTTTATTATGTCCTCCATAACATGAAGTTAAGGACATATAAACAGTTTTTTTATTATTATTGTTATTATCATCATCCTCAATATTCATGTTGTTGCTGGTATTTAGGGGAAGGTGGAGAGACTGTGAAAGCAATACTTGTTGCCTTACTACACGAAACATACTGCAAAAAAACTATGTTGACTAAGTTTTGCATGCTAATAAATTTGTTATGACTTCATCCAATTATGGCACATTTAGCAGTCTGTATACCACAATGAAATCTGCAATTATAATTTCTGTGACTTTATGTTCCAGACAAGATGATGGGATTGCTGCTCAGCAGCTCCTAATCGGGTTTACATTTTTATGTCCTATATGAAATTTGTGGCAAATTGCATCTTTCCATTTATTATTTAGCAGACAGGTGCACAGAAAGCAAAGCTGGTGGTGGCAGAGTGGGACTTGTTAGCCACTACAAACTGCAACATATTTGCACTAGGAAAAAAGCCCTATTTTATGCATAAATCTCACTAATTAGTAAAATCTGGATAAGCAGTATTTTCTATGAGATATAGGCGTACCATATTCAAACTGTTTGTTGAATAGGCTCTCATTTGGAGCTGAGAACATTGCTTAGAAACAGGCATATTATGGCCAGTCATCACAGAAATATTGAGTTATGGCTCTGTTAATATAACTGCATGGGCTTTGGCCATCCCTTGTTTGAATTCTTGGTAGAAAAGTGTTGACCACACAGCCCTGAGCGCATCATCTCTTGCCATGAGATGGATTCCTTTGCTGAAGAATCCCAGACTACAGTCTCTGAAGTGAAAACACAAAAGTAAAACAGCCCTAATCATTGCATTTTCAGCCTCCTAGAATTACTTGTTAGAATGGGTAAGTTTCACCATCATTAGTGAGGACGTTGAGGAGTAGCTGTAGAGAAGCCAGTCTGGTTTGTGAAAAGGGTTAAGGGGAAAAAGCTGAACTGAACCATGGGGATATTTTAAATGGAGGGACATATCCTTCTGTATCTCCTACTCCAACTGAAAAGAAAAACAATCATCAGAGTCACTGCCAACAGCACTGTGCTTCTCTCCGTGAATTCCAGCCTAGTGTTCGGAGCAGCTCAAATCCACATGGAGACTGCAGTATTATGGAGATTGAGCAATGCCTACCTGACTATTCATGGAAAAGGGTTATTCATAACACTAAGTGACTAAGACTAAAACAGAGAGACTGATATGCCAGAAGTTACAACTTCAGTAACCCCTTTGGCTCAGGTATTTTCAAGTATGATAAAATGACAAGGCTGATGAAGGAAAATTAACAGCTTTTAAAAGTTGAGAGTGGGAGGATGAATGACATTTTGATGAGAAGAATGACACATAAAATGATCCAGACAATTGGGATTATGCAGAACATAATTCCTGTGCCAATCCAAAGTTTTTTTTTTAAAAAAAGCAGTAGCAGTTGGGATCTGACAAATGAAACAGAAAAACTGTTCTCAAATAAACAAAAATGAGGAGTGTAGCTATGTGATGAATGCTAAGATAAAACAGGAAAGCTGAACACCAGCATGTAAAGCTAATGAAAATTTCTTGCTGAAAAACTAACATTCACATCCCTTTCCTGAACCATAGCTTGGACAGAAAAAATAAGCTGTCAGAAAGTTTCATTTCACCTCTCCCATTCTTGCACCCACCAGCTAAATGACTCTGCACGGCTCAGGACTACCAAACATTGCAGCCTCGGAGCTCAAACTACCTCAGAGAAGAATTATTCTAAAATTTCATTGGCTTTCAGTGAGCTGTAAGCCTGAGAAAATATAAATACAGCTTTAATACCCAGGTGATTTGGAAAATTATTTAGAGCTATGTAACCAATATATTGCTTTAAAATTACCTTATAAAATAAAATAACACCCCCTTAAATGTCAATTTGTCTACTGAACAGCAGTGCCTGAGTTAACTACAGCAACTGGCATGAATGAGCTCAGAGTCATAAGAGCTACTGCACTGACTCATACTGGACAGGACAGTCTTGCTTAACTCAAGAATTTGTAAATGAGAATGAAGGTGCAGGAAAAATAAATATCCCTGAATATCTTGGTCCAAATGTCTGAGATTTCTGTGAGTGAAATATCTCCCTAAGAGGTACAAAACTGTGTGAGTGTAACTGTTGCTACTCAGTTTTAAGAACAATCATTCAATTTAATGGAATTTTGAAAATTACCCTGAAATCCTTTAATTGTAAAACAAAAGAAAATTATCCTGAAGTATCATCATCAAATCTGTAAATTGGTTCTTGGAAGGGCTCAAGTGCCATCCTGCAGGTCTGTCAGACACTAAGACAAGTCATATATGCCTTTACTTCAGTTTAAGTAAATAATTCTTGCATGTGGGTATCGAGTTTTGTGACTTCAAATAGGAACCATGCATTTGCATATGAAGAAAAATTTAATTTGTCTTAGGGCTATATAGACATTTCTCCTGCCCCAGATTTTGGCATCATACTAAGATGGCTCTTAGTTGCTATTTGCATGAATATATTAATCTAAAGTTAAATTGATTTCTACTCAAGCTAAATATGTTACTGCACAACAAATAGATCTTAATTCTTTTACTATTAAGTGAAGTAGCAAGCACCAAAGATTACCAAATTACCTCAGACAACTAGCAGTGGGCGTGCTACCAAACAGCAGAGAATTCAAGGGAATTCTGGGGAAAATTCTGAGGAAAACTGAGATATATCTATATGGCTGTTCACTCAGGAAATATAAAACCTAAACCAAACCAACAAAGAAGCAGGAATAATTCATTGGACTATCTAAGATTATTTTAAAGCATAGGAAGTTTTGCAGCCCTTTCACTTCAATGATAAACGTTGGGATTTTTAGAGATGGTACATAGTATTTAACTAAACATAATTGAGGCTAATTGAACCTTTGGAACAGATTGCCCACAGAAGTTGTGGGTGCTCCATCCCCTGAAGTGTCCAAGGCCAAGCTGGATGGGGTTTTGAGCAACCAGGTCTAGTGGAAGGTGTCCCTGCCCATGGCAGGGGTTTGGGACTAGATAAAGTTAAAGACTTATTCCAACCCAAGTTTTCCCATTATTTCACAGAGGAGAATTACTACCAAATCTCCACTATTCAGCAGAATAGGAAATACACGGCCAAAACACTGTCAATTTTTTGTTTCATGGCAAATACTAGAATATCAAAATATCTTGTTTCTGGTTACAACTAAAACATACACTCTAAATAGGCTTGTCTTGTCAAAAAAAAAAAAAAAGAAATTTGAGACTGTTGTAGTCTATGTCTTCAGGCTTTATCTATCTACACAAAATTTCATGCCACTAACAGAAGTAAAAATAAATTCAACCCTATCTTCCAGTGCATGAAGGCAGCCTATAAGAAAAATGGAGAGGGACTTTTTACAGAACCTGACAGGACATAGAGAAATGGATTCAAACTGAAGTACGCTAGGTTTAGATTAGATATTAGGAAAGAATTCTTCCCTGTGAGGGTGGTGAGGCATTGGAACAGGTTTGCCAGAGAAGCTGTGGATGTCCCATCCCTGGAAGTGTTCGGGGCCAGGTTGGATGGAGTTTTGAGCAACCTGGTCTAGTGAAAAGTGTCCTTGACCACATCAGGAGGATTGGAACTAGATGATCTTTAAGGTCCCTTCCAACCCAGGCCATTCTATGACTCCACGACATAACATGACATTTTCAATATGATATTTTTATCTTATTGAGGGCAATGCTTGAGGCACAAACAATAGCAATACCTTCCTGCTAAATGAAGCTGCACTTTCTTTATCACTACACAGTTGCAGAGGCCCTTCCTAGTCCAGCCTCAGGTCCTCAGCCAAGCCATAGCTTTGCTCAGAACATGACATGTGCTCCCATCTGATGTCTTGGAGCTGACTCTTCCTCTCTGCTAACACCCCCACGTGTAGAAAGGGCCCAATTCAACCTCTCCTTGCCATGCACAAAAGGACTGTCCTGCTAGCTGGGTCTCTGGGCACTGGGGCATGCAAATATGAAAGAAAAGAAAGTAATAAAAAAAGTTGACTAACCTAACCCACCTGAGCTCGGCTCACAGGGATCGATGTCCTCATCATCGCTAGGACATTCAGCCGAGGCCACCAGGATGTCATCTGAAGTCTGCAAAGAAAATAAGAGTCAAATAGATGTACTTGAATTGGCTGAACGTGTTGTAAGTTTCTCACCAGCACGTCTTCTTCTTTTTGTTTTCTTTTATTTTTGGAATTTATGCGAGGCCCAGAGCATTTCAGACTTAAAGTGTAATGGTGCAGTGACACTCTCCACCTCTGTATTAATGGGACTTTGCTTTTCAATTTGCACTTGTCAGGATTTAGAATTGCATTAGATATCCAGTGTGGGTACTTACACATTTTAATTTTTTTTTTTTTTTTTTTTTTTTTTTTTGTAATAAGGACAGAAAGTAGAAGGACAGAATATGTATATTGAGGCTGCTGGTCTTCCCTCTTTATCTCCAATATCTCTACTATGATATTACTGAGAACACTGAAGGCATTAAAATACAAGTCAAAATAATGAACTGCCTGCAGTGCAGCTGTTAAAATTATTATAAATGTGGTGATGTTTTCTCCATTAACTGCACTTGCTTTCTCAGATGTAGAGTCAAGGAAAAAGGAATAGAAGCAAACATATCTCTCACTGAGCTGAAAATTATTTAATGAAAAGAAACTCAAGGAAAGAAAACAATAATAAATGCATATATGCTAGAAATTATTATGGTATTTTCTTAAATAAGTGAAAACCTCTTATTTTCTTAAATAAGTGAAGCACAGCATGAGTGCTATGATTAGGTACCAGAGCCAAAATGCATTTGGACAATTTTTTGTATAAAGAAATTATATAGATCAAGACAAAGGAGACAAACCACTGGATGTATGGTAAAACAGACCACAAAAGTTCAAAAATGAACAGGGGAATTCCTATCTACTGCTTCTTACAGTGCAAGAACAAGGAGATATTCAATGAAACACTCAGAGAGACAATCAATCAGTCAACATGAAGAAATGAATATCTTTTCAAGCCACCTCTGAGAACAGTCATTTAGAAATGTGATAAGAACGTCTACAGTAATTCAGGGAAATAATAGGAGGGAAATATAAACTGTCATGCACCTGGCCATTACTGAAGAAATTACCAAAGAGGTTAGGAAGATGCTTTTCCTATGGTTGAGGCGTTTCATAACTGTCCATTTCAAACTTCTGTTCACCTCACTGAAGGAAGTACATGGAGAGAATAAAATACTGCATCATATTCAAACAAGAGGCTCAGGATGTAGCAGGCAAAAAGCCATTCTTGGATTCATGTATGATAAATATGGCAACAGCCCATTTCAGTGAATGCAAAACTTTCTTCCTTTATCTCTCCATGGGCATAGAGGAGGGACATAAAATGCATGAAAGTTTTCCTTCATCAGTTTAAATCTGAAGATGTAAAAATTTTATAGCTGTGCAGCAGGGCCAAAGGCTAAGCAATGCTGTTTATCATTATTATTCTAACCAGAGTTTTAAAGCGAAGCATATTACAGTAATAGGCTTTACTTTGTCATGCTTCAAGAATATTAATGAATATAAGCTTTCAGCACTTCTCTGAAGCAGGAAAGTGATACAGGAATACATTCATTAATATGTGAGGCATAACAAAGAAAAGCCCATAATAATAATAATCATAATATATTTTAGAGGTAAAAGACTGAGGCATAACGGAATGAAGTAACTTGCTGAAGGTAATCAAAAAGGCTATAGAAAACAGCTATGTTTGGATGCCATAATCACAAAAATTATCTTTCCTTATAGCTGAGAAAATGTGTAGCTAGAGGAAACAACTGTAAACCTGAAATACTGCCAAAATTGGGTGGCAGATTTGCAAGATTTAAAAAACACAAAACACCCCAAAAAAAGCTTTCTAGTTGTCCTTCATTTCTACCACGTAGAAAACCAAAGTTGGAACAAAAGCCAACTACAAACACCTTCTTGAATTTCCAATGTCCATTTCTTTTCCCCAGATGACAACCATTAAAGCTTGAAAACCAGTAGCTTGGTCTCTTTGAGAAAAATTACCTATTTTTTTCCATATAAAAAAAATAACCAAGTAACCAACAAAGCCTGCCCATAAGAAAATATCTCTGTACTGTAAACCCCACAACCATTAGGTATAAAAACATAAGTACATAAAGTACCATGCATCTTCCGAAGAGTTTCAACTTGGTAAGTGAAGCAGCAGGTTCAAATTTTTCCTTTTGCCCACAACACTGGACAAGACAATAATTTTATGACCTGTAGCCAGAATTCTGAATATTTATCAATAGATCACTGAGGAGCTCTACACAAATACCGTTAAACAGAGAGGATCACATGCATACCCAACAGTCACATCAAGAAATGGTCTCAGACCTAATGGTCTGACTGGAATTTTGATGAGGGGTGCTTTGGCCCTTGTACAGATGAGTCACTCTTGTAACCTGAGTGACCCAAGAAGAAATGATCAGACAGATTTATGGGATTATTGCAGTGTTTCTGATTACTCTTGATATAGGACAGCATGGTAAGACTTTAGGTAATTCTACTTCTTTGTACAATTTGTGGTACGTTCAAAATTCTGGTAATTCAAAATCACCAGAAAAATAATGCACTTTAAGTATTTTCATGTCTGAGGGATACTTTGCTCAGCTACTTATAAGAGAGAGTCAAAACTGTCTTCATAAAGTGACACTAATTCCAATCTATAGAAAGAGTATTCATCCTTCTACAAGAAGAAAGGGTTGTTCTTGAATGATAAAAATGCATGCATATTATGGGTACAGAAATGAATAATACCTTAAATAAATGCAAATATAGAATGTTGAGAAAGACTTCATTAATGTCTCAGCGTATTAAAAGAAGTAATGTGTGTTTCAAAGTCAAGACTTGGTGTAAAACTCATTTTCTTGCAAGCAGTAATCAAGTATCAGTAGCTGAATAAGAAGCAAAGTGATAAGATGATGTGAAAAGTGTTTTTCTTCAGAAAAATATCTGAAGAAGAATTCGAGTTTTAGTACCAATTAAAGGACGTGTCACAACCTGCCCCTATTCACCCTTTTCCCCAAATCCAAACAGCCCTTTGCTGCTACTCATTCATATTTTCAGAGAAAAGGGCAAAGGAGCTGTGAAAGGCAGGTGAGCTAGCACCGACCAAACTACAAAAGAAAGCTATTGGTCTGCCTGACAGAATTCAAAATGGGATTCAGAATTAGCTAAAACACTAGAGAATATAGAGAATACATAAATTAAACACTGTGGGCCAGTTACTTTCTGGAGTTATTTCTGCAGAAGAGCTCTAATTGATGCGAATTTACCTGAAGAGAGAGCAGAATTTAGACCTGAGAGTGTCAGACAGACATGGGGTGCAGATCAATAATGCAAGATAAATTAATGTGTTTTACTGAGTTGACATTATCTTTTCCTCATGCTTTTTAATTTGGATGGGAAGATTTAAAACAAATCAGTTCTCCTAAGTGAATTGCCATTGTTGCTAGCATTATGGCTAATTTACAGGACACTGCTTCAAGCATTCTCATTAATCAAGGATTTAAAAGTCAGTGGAAAATCCCTTGTTTACAGTGAGTGCCTAATAGGATAACATCCAACTGGTATCATCAACATACACGATTGGATTAGAATGTGTCTTGGGTGGGTTGTTCAAATTCATTTAAGAGGTGATACTCCAGTTGTAAGAAATTTTAAAAATAATTAAAATAGCAGGTGTGCAGTGTAAAAAGTCAGGTATAATTTCTTTTAATTGCTTCTTCTTTTCTTTGTGCATTTTCAGAGATTTTTCAGATTCATTTTGCAGCTATGACTGTAGGATTTAAAATGCAGTCCACTGTAAAATGTGGATTCTCAGAAAGTTGGACATCTGTACACATATCAAAAAAAGCTTACCATTAACATGGCAATGAAAAAATGGAGCCAAAAAATTCCCACATTTAGTAAAACTAGAATTCATTGCACAATGTTGGTTCTGACAAATATTCAGGGGTGTGGCCCCTGCAGGAATAGGTCTTGCTTACATCAGCTACGTCTGCTTGCAAAAATAAAGAAATTGGGATTTGTCTCTCAGCCAAGAGACAGTTTAAAATACCACCAATCTGCCACCTTGCCTGAGGAAGGAAATGGTGACTATTTCAAGAAAGCTTCTGGCCAGATGAAAAAATGATGCTGTAGTCATGGCTTAAATGCAGTGACAATCTGTAGCTATGGATAAATATCAAGCTGCCTCAAAGGTTACTATCCCTGGTTCAAAACTAGTACCAAAAAATGTCTGTGCCCTTCTAATAGTGATCTCTGAATGCTATGTCATTAAAAGAAATGATTGGAAATGAATAAACAATACAGGAAAGTAATTTTTTATTATTACTCATTTTTTTGCATGACTGAGATTAAATACACACCAACTTACTCCGTTTTTATGTATGAAGTCTACTATACCTGAGGGTATGAGAGAAATATGACCTAAAAATTAAATCAGCAATCTGAGCTGTGCATTCATTAACAGTATAATGGATCCTGCATATTTTCTGCTGCAGTATGGCACCAGCTCTCCTTTAAATCATAGCACCCTACAGCTACTCTGAATATAGTTTATTCCTTTCTTGTTCAATAATATACTTTATCCAATGAGAACTGCAAGCAAATCCAAATTACACAATAGCTAAAAACTAGCAGTCCTAAATTATTATATGAATTATAAGCAGCACAACCCCTTATGACTACTCTTTAAATTATTTCAGATGAGAACTTCAGCTGCGTAACTCAGAATTACTCTTATTTATTTGTACAGCTCTGGTGCTGAATGCCAGCAGAGACCAGTGCTGTTGTGCCTGGTGCCAAAGGCAGCTGGAAAGCAAAGGTTCTGCTCTGAGGAGCTTTGAGATTGACTTTGGACAGCAAATGAGTGGGAGAGGGAGCAGAGGATGAGAAGGGTCAGGTGAGGATGCTACTGAGAGGCGCTGGCAGTTACACAGTGGGTCTGATCTAGCACATTTCCCAAAATTATGCTCCCATAGAGCAGGAAGGAAGGTCAGAAAGAAAGCAGGCACAGGAAAGCCAGGCAGGAGCCTGTGGCTG